TGTTAAAAGTTTTGTTTTATTTATTATTATTTCCTAGAAATAATAATTCCCAATATGTTGGAAAATATTATTTTTATAATATAATGTTTTTCCAATTAAATACAAGTGTTGATATATTTATTAATAATCAAAATTACTCTAATAAATAATCAATTAGTGGTAACTTGCCATAAGGTGTGACCATATATGATCATATATTATTAAAAATATCATTCTATAATGACTTTTGGACATACAAGATATTTCAAAATGGTTACTAAGGTTAACTCCAAGTAAATTCGAAAAAGTCCTAAGGAATTGGTATATTATCCAAACAAATTTGGGAAAGCGATTGAGTCGCTAGACAACACAAAATAGAGGCCAAAGCGGAAGTTAGTTTTCACTAACTGGCCATGTGAGTACATGTGGATGTTTATGAGTTGATAACAACACGTTTTCAATGTGAAATGTTTAATATTAAGTGTTTTATAACTTAAATGATTATGTTTTCAGGTTTGCGATTTAGCTGGTATGGCTAGTAGTTTTAATATGAAAACTTTAGAAAATATTATGTTTATTGGTTACATGACATTGCTACTAATTCTGTTATAAATTTTTTAGCATGTCTTATGGTTGATACCAATTGTTGGGACAGTTGATGTTATTATGTGTATAGTTGGAATAAGCTTATTAGAAAGCTAGAAGTGAATGCGTATTAAAATGCATTATGTATGCTGGTGGTGTGATATACTCCAAAGTGAGTGTTGGAGATCACAATTTCAGATACATGACAATTATCGAGACTATATTTCTCGTAAGTAGTAGGTATCAATGAATGTATTCGTGTTATAGGACCTAATGATAGGTTACAGTTACAAGTTACCTAGTGATCAATTATGATCACCAATTCTTATAGAGAAACCCATGTTATAGGTCCTAGTAGATAAGCATAATGACATGATGTAATGATTCTTCATTGGCTTCAGGATAATTTGTATTCCCGTGGATAGTAGAGATTTAATTATGGACTAACTAGGGGTATCGATTCTCATATATCCAAGTTTATGTTTTGGGATATCAAGTCCGGTGGGTACAGTTTTACCTACAAGGTTATATCCGTGGGTGTAGTCTTATCTGGATGGTTATGTATCAGAGTGAAGTCTTATTTGCAGGGTTGTCTTGGAGTGCAGTCTTATCTGCAGGGTTATGTCTTAGGATATGAAATTCAAGTGTGTACAATTTTATCTGTAAGATTATGTTTTGGGGGTGTGAAATTCCCCATCTTTGTTTATTATGACATGTTTAAATGTTAAAAGGTTGCCAATATGTTTTAATTGTAATATTGAAAGCATGATTGTATTGTTTTTGCTGGGTTAAAACTCATATAGCTCATAAGTCTTTTCGACTTTACGTGTTATTTTTAGATGTGTTATGTATTCATGTATTAGAGTAAAGTTTAAAGAGATATTGATAGAGAAGGCTTATTGAAGACTTAGAGTAGTCTTCAGGTGGTGGTTTGATACATTTTCTTTTACTATGACAGTTGATATTATTTTTGTAACACCAAACATTTGTAAACTATGATAAAGAAATGAAAGGTTTTTAGTAAAACCATATTTTACTTCGATTAATTTTCATTGTAATTGTACAACCATGGTAAATCTTGAAAGTTGAAAGTATGGGTGTTTATAATCACCAATTTTAAATAAAGTTTATTTTTCTCTCAAAAATTTTTGTGTGTTTTTGGATCAACTTTAACGAGAAGTATGAAATGATTCAAAACTCCAAAAATCATGTATCTTATATTCTTTTAAAGCTATTGATGTGTTTTTCCTATAAAAAGTGGCAAATCTTTTGGAGCTATGTAGAGGAAGTTATGATGTTTTTTACACAGGTTGTACAATGAACATAAAACAACATAATTTGACAAACCTTTTGGGTTTTTCAAGTTTCTTAAGATCTCATAACATGTACTAAAGTATCTGATGTTTCTATTTATTTATGAAGTCTTTTAATGTTTTAAGTCCTATAATTAGTTGAGGTTTTTTTAGAATCATCATTTTTAAGAAAACTCATTTTTCTTTCCAAAATTATGTGTGTTTTTTTGGACCAACTTCAACGAGAAGTATGGAGTGATCTAGAAGTCCGAAAATCGTGTGTTTTGTATACTTGGAAAAAAATGACAAATTTTTTGGAGTTATGTAAAGGAAGTTATGACATTTTTGCCATAGGATATTTAGTGGACATAAACAACCAACTTTAACCAACCTTTTGGGTTTTCCAAGTCTATTTATCGGTATGAAAATATATTCACTTGTTTGAAAATATGTTTGGTTGTCTGAAAAAACCGAGATAAAAATGTTTGGTGGTCTGAAAAAATATTTTTAGATCAACTTCATTGAACAATTTGTAATAATCCAGAAATCCAAAAATCGTGTACCTTATATTTGGGAAAGCTCGGGATATGTAGTTTGCAATGAAAAAACAACAAGTCTTTTGGGTGTTATGTGGAGAAAATTACGACGTTTTTGTAATAGGTTGTCCAGTGTACACACAATATGTTCTGTGGTCTGAAACTAAGTTCAGTTGTTTGGAAATATGTTTAGTTGTCTGAAAATATGTTTACGGTTTGAAAATATCTTCTACGATATGAAAATATGTTTGATGGTCTAAAAAATTGAGGCAAAATATATTCGGTGGTTTAAATTTTTTTTATCGGACCAACTTCAACTAGAAGTCTTGAATGATTCAGAAGTCAACAAATCGTGTTTCTTATATGCTTACAAAGCTCTGAAATATATAGTTTTCAATGCACAAATCAACAAGTTTTTTGGAGTTTTCTAAGGGAATTTATGACTTTTTGCCATCTGTTGTCAAATTGATAGAACAGCTGAATTTCACCAACCTTTTGGGTTTCCTAACTCTCTTAAAATCTCATGTGCATGTAACGAAGTATTTGATGTTTCAAAGTTATTAATGAAGTCTTTTCATATTATTGTCGATTATAGCATTCAATTTTCATGTTAATGTTGACCGTAACATTTTACTTTCATTGTTTTTCTAATTATAGCATTTAACTTTCAATTTCATTCAGTTATAACATTTTCCTTTCATTTTTTTCAACTACAACACACAACTTTCATTTTGATGTCGATTATAACATTTTACCTTTTTTTTTTTTTTTCAGTTATAGCATTCAACTTTCAAATTACCGATTTCTCCAAGTAAAAAATCAATTATTTATATAGTATCAAATTAAATTTAAAAACCTATTTCATTGATCAATATCTTCAAACCATAAGATAACAACCTCATAAAATGAACTTATTATATATGATGACGGTCTATAATTTGTTGGAGGACCTAACCTTTCCCCGATTCGAATCCGGTTTGGTTGATTCCGGCCTATGCACACCCATATTAGATTGTGATGATTAGGGAAAATGACTTATATGGGTAACTATGTTTCAAAATCGTTCAAAAAATACCATTCAAATTTGGTGTGTCCAAAAAACACCATCCAAGTAAAGCATTTGTATAAAAAACACCAACGAAGTACATTCTTTGTTCAAATTTGACATTTGGTAACCGGCAATTACCGGTAAAAAATAAGTAAAGGAAAAAAAACAATAGGAAATGACTCAAAGAGGTAACTATGTTTCAAAATCGTTCAAAAAACACCATCCACGTTTGGTATGTTCAAAAAACACCATCCAAGTAAACTTTTTGTACAAAAAACACCAACAAACTATATGTTTTGTTCAAATATTACCCACCGGTAATTGGTTCTTACAGGTTAAATGATAACTTGGCTTAACTATTATGACATGGCATAATAATGATTGACAAAACAATAAATGATATATTCCTCCTTTAAAAACCGATTTAGGGTTTCTTCATGAACGAATGACTTCTTCTTCTCTTATGATTGCTCTTCTTCTTCTAAAGTGATGATGTCAAACTCAAGTCCAAAACCCTAACTCTTAACTTAAGGCAAAAAGGGCTCCTTTACCCCTGCCTCGATGGGCCTCCCTCCCCCTAAGGCCCAAATCCATAAAAAGCCCAAAAAGGCATCCAAGCCCAACTACAAGACATCTAAGGCCTAATATGGCCCAAGAACCCCCCAACATGGCCTTAAGCCCAAAAAATGACCTGCTACAATCAGGTGGGCCCGATGCCTAACGTAAAAATGCCTCGGGCCCACCTGATTGTAGCAGGTCATTTTTTTGGCTAAGGCCATGTTGGGGGTTCTTGGGCCATATTAGGCCTTAGATGCCTTGTAGTTGGGCTTGGATGCCCTTTTGGGCTTTTTATGGATTTGGGCCTTAGGGGGAGGGAGGTCCATTGAGGCAGGGGTAAAAGAGCCCTTTTTGCCTTAAGTTAAGAATTAGGGTTTTGGACTTGAGTTCAAGATCATCACTTTGGAAGAAGACGAGCAATCATAGGAGAAAAATAAGTCATTCGTTCATGAAGAAACCCTAAATCGGTTTTTAAAGGAGGAACATATCATTTATTGTTTTATCAATCATTATTATGTCATGTCATAATAGTTAAGCCAAATTATCATTTAACCTATAAGAACCAGTTACCGGTAGGTAATATTTTAACAAAACATATAGTTTGTTGGTGTTTTTTGTACAAAAAGTTTACTTGGATGGTGTTTTTTGAACATACCAAACTTGGATGGTGTTTTTTGAACGATTTTGAAACATAGTTACCTCTTTGAGTCATTTTCCTATTGTTTTTTTTTCTTTACTTATTTTTTACCGGTAATTGCCGGTTACCAAAGGTCAAATTTGAACAAAGAATGTACTTTGTTGGTGTTTTTTGTACAAATACTTTACTTGGATGGTGTTTTTTGGACACACCTAACTTGAATGGTATTTTTTGAACCATTTTGAAACATAGTTACCAATATAAGTCATTTTGCCGTGATGATTATGAACAACAACACATGGTTCTAAAAACAAAATCTAAAATATTTCGAGTAGAAAGGTCTGGCTTCCTCTCTCTCTCTCTCTCTCTCTCTCTCTCTCTCTAAACTGGTGTGGATTCAAAACCAAAAGTAGGGCTTTTCATCTGGCGGCGATATCCCTTAACGGTGGCCCTTCGATAGCTACATCATCGTCATCTTCTTCTTCTTCTTCCATATCCGTAAGTTCTATCTTCGAATTTCGGAGTTTTACTTTTGTTTTTTTGTTTACAGACTCCTCTAGTGGAAGTAGCATGAACTTAAATCGCGACTTTTTGGATCTCTGGAAAATCCCTAAAAGTTTTCAACATCTACCGAAATTCCCAGCGGGACAGTATCGTTGATCTAGACTAAAAGTTCACCAAATCAAATGAAGAACATATGTACTTCTTTCACTTGAACTGCATCAATCTATTGTCTGATTTCCTTTTTTCACTGCTATATGATCTATACTGGAGTGTGGTGGTTTTAGTATTGTTGTTTCTAGATAATTTACTTCTGATTTTAGTAATTTGTGCATTTGTGTTGTCGTTTATTGTATTTTAAGGCCATGCTCATGTCGCCATTCCTAATTTAGCCCTCTTATCTGGATTTTGAATATTGTTCTTGGGTTTTTTCAAGAGTAATTGTAGCCGATAGATCACCATTCACCAAAAACCTTACAAGCTTTTGAGGCTCTATTATCCTTCTACTCTATTTATATCACACAGGAAACTAGTAACGTTTCAAGATGATTCATCCTTCCAAATTGGGACATGGTTGGATGAAATAGATATCATTATTGAATCTTGGAAGGAGGCACATCAACTAGCAGCTGCTTTCTATAGTAAGATAGATTGCTTTAGCATAAGACATGACACCTAACATTGTTCTCTAGGTTATAACTTGTAAGCATCATGGATGTGAAATCTTGCATTAGGTTCCTCACGTGGATCTTACTTCATAGAATTAATTTTGATACCAAGCTTTGGTACTTGAATCTAGTATTTTAAAACTTTTTTTTTGGAATAAAAGATATTAGATCTAAAACTACATTGCATCACTGATCCTATTGTAAAATATATTTTGTCATCTTATCAAATACTTTTAGACATTGTTTATCTAGACAACACTTCAGTTTTTGTGTGAAAACTGTGCTACAACAACATCAATGCCTTGTTGTCAATAGAATTTGATCATTGTTTCTAGGTCTGTTTTTGTGGTTATTAGCTATTTTTTTTGTTCTTGAACTCAATATATACTTCAATAACATAAATTTAAAGATATTGGAATTAGTTCTGCATTCTTTTATGTCTATTTATTATGTGAATACATAATAGGAAAAAAAAAAAATGGGCTTGTGAACTTTTGACGAATTAATGCAGATTCACTAACTTTTATGAGAAACTTGAGTTAAAGCTCTTCAAAGTTACTTATCTCAAATTAAAAGTAAAATAAAACGTTTAACAACCAAATTTACTCTTCAGTTAACACATGAATTAAACATGTTTTACACTTCATCTATGATACAGGGCAATATGAGAGAAACCAGTTAAATCAGATTTTAAATTCATAGCACAGTGGTTTCAGAATCTATCCACATCTTCATTCTTGCTAAGTGGGCCCAGGATGGATGATGGTGGGCATCGTGAAAAAGGTGGCCATAGGGTAGATTACTACAAAGGCGTTCATCCTCAGGTAAAATGTCTAAAATACCCTTCAGATATTACATTACCATTCTTTGAAAAATAAAGTACATTGCTTATATTGGTAGCTATTGTCAAGGGTAGTAATGTAATTTTCATTTTTTGTAGTGGAACATGATGCCGCAACAATACCAAGTAAAAGACCAAAACGCCCTCCTAATGAACCGAAAAATCATGCACATCGTGTCGGAACGCGACACGGCAATCGAAGAACGCGACCGCGCGCTTTCCGAAAAAAAATCCGCTTTAGAAGAACGCGACATGGCCATCCAACAACGCGACGCCGCCATAGCAGATCGCAATGACGCCATAAGGGAACGCGATAACGCCATCGCCGCCCTCCGGTTCCAAGAAACCACCATGAACAACCACCTCCAACGAGCCTCCAAACGCACCACCACCACCACCCACCACCACCCTCCGCCGTCCTCATACCGCCACGACCAGAACCCGAACATCACCGAAGCCTTCCCGATCACCATCGTCCCCTCCGAAGCCGCCGCCGCCAAGTCAAAATCAGTCAAAGAGAGAAAATCCGGCGGAAACGGCGGTTCCGGTGGCGGCAGTGGTGGTGGTTCGAGGTTGAAGAAGCAGAAGAAAGTCGGGGAGGATTTGAATCGGAATGTGACAACGGATGGATCGAAGGCGGAATGGGATGCGCAAGAGCTTGGATTGATGGATCAAATTAATTTTGATGAATCGACGATGCCGATTCCGATTTGCTCGTGTACCGGAGTTGGGCGGCAGTGCTACAAGTGGGGTAGCGGTGGGTGGCAGTCGTCGTGTTGCACCACCACTATTTCGGTGTATCCGCTCCCTCAGATGCCTAACAAGCGGCATTCCCGAATGGGTGGCCGGAAAATGAGCGGGACCGTGTTCACTAGGTTGCTTAGTCGGCTGGCGGCACAAGGCCATGATTTGTCGGCTCCGGTTGACTTGAAAAACTATTGGGCGAAACATGGGACGAATCGGTATATTACTATTAAGTGAAGTGAAATGACGGTTTTGCCCTTCCCGGGTTTTTGGGTGGAAAATGAAAATGTTCTCGTAGGTAGGGAAGGGTGGTTGTTGGTTAGTTGGTAAAATGGTGAAAATTGTAGGAATTCGTTTTTTTTTTCTAGGGTTTTTTATGGATTTGTATGCAAATGTTTTGCTGCATTGTTACTATTGTAGTTGGGCTATTTTCTGTTCAATATGATCTCCGGGCCCGCTTTTGGTGAAAGTATTAAAAGTAAAAACACATCTACGATTCTATTCATAATATAAACTAAATAAATATTATTTTTACTATATCTATAAGACTAAGAGTAATAAAGAAAGTGGGACCTTAAAATTGAAGCCCAACAAAGGTAATGTAGACTTTTCATTATTTATTACAGTGGACCTTGAGAAAGTGGGCCAATGAAATTGAAGCCCAACACGTGTGTTCAAGCTTTAATTGCAAATTCAAACTGGGCTGATCGTGGAGCCATTACAAACTTATATTAATAAAGGTTGGCCCACTTAAAAAATAATTATCACTAAATATCCTATTGGCTGTCACCATCAATTTATTTGTAATAATGATAACATAATAAGTTTTTAAGAAACATATAAAATGTGAAAAATTAGCAAGTGCTGTTTTAATCACCATCATGCCATGATATTTACCCTTTTTAAACTTAATTATGCACAAAACTAAGAGATTTATAGCCACCAATAAATATATGATATTGATTTACTAAACCTGATTTTTGAATCGTTATAAATTATAATATAAGTTTAGAATTGCATATCCATATACACTCATACCCTAAATAGATACATTGGATTTTTAACTACAAATTGAATTTGTCTCAAATCGAAGTTGTATCCATCAAATCACTTTGTATCATCTTGTTCTTGTTTGTTTACAAGTCACACTCACTATTAAAATAACTTAAAAGTATATGCAATTTCATAAAATACATAATTACACATACCAGCTGTTTGGAAGTATGGTACTAAATTAATTCTTTAAAGATTTTGAGTTGATGTTATAATAATCAGTTTAATGTTTAAATAGAGATTTATCAACTAAAATATCATATTTTGAGGTCATTGTCGCAACAAAACCAATTTTTTCTGGAATTTTAAGAAAATAACCATAAACGATGTAAGATTTTATTAAGGGTGGTAGGAGTAGAACTCTTCCAACCCACTGTCACATCAGTTCAACATCGGTTTTTCTTTTATTTTTTTTCTTTCATATTTTCCAACCCACAACACATAAACATATAATTTTTTCCAATTCACTCAACTCACTTGCCATATCACTATTTTTTAATTTAATTAAATTAAAAAAATGCAAAATTAAATACAACATAACATTTTTGAAATTTAAAAACACTAGTACAAAAAAAAAAATACACGATAAAGTTGTAAGGCACTGCTTCTAGTATCATTGTTAAATACCCATGGTCACCCCTTATGTATTGGCCTCTCAGTTTAGTTGGATAACTCCTCCAGTTCCAATGTGTGCAGTCGATGGTATCAAGCATTCCAGGGAATCCATGTCTGTTTCGTGTGTTTCATACAAGAGTTGAATGTCAGTGGATGTTAGACGACGTATATATCCAGCCTTATATAGTTTGATAACACTTATACAGTTTGATAACACCAAGACAGAAGTTTGGAAGACTTCCACGTGAAGTTCTTTCTTACATATTCAAATACTCATCTAATGAGTCCAGGTTGTGAACGTACGTTATTTGACGTACTGCTGATGTTCATTTTTGAAGCGCACTGAAACTTCGCAAATCACATGCGTTATATGATGTTTGAAAATAAGGATAAGTACTTTCCGGTTCACCAAGAATACACATAAACAAACGATTGCTCATACATGACCTTCCACGAAATTGATTATTCACAAAGGTTGAATCTCCAACAAGTAATGTCGAATTAGTAGTTGTCCAGCCTCTATATGATCTCTATGGATTGAATTTCTCATATGAATGATGCTTGAACTGACATTATTCTGTTACAAAAGTTGTGCATAATGAGATAATGCAACAAACAAATTAGCATTGTTAGTTTCATCATCGGATGGAGACGAATCATCTACGATATTTTCCATCAATATTTTACGAATGTTTGAATTCATTTTCTTGGAAAGTTGGAGAAAACGAATGAAATTGAAGAAGGTTGGAATAGAATTGAGAGAAAATAAAATGAAATTGAGATAGAATGAAATGAGTTGTAATAGTTTTATATATAAGTTTCTTTTTTTTTTAATTATTATTCTCTTTGACCGGTCAAAGAGGGGAGACAAGCATTTATCCCAAGTTCTCCTACCCGCCTAAGGGCTTGTCAGCAGTACCATAAAAAGCTCGGAGGAGCCACCCGATGGTACCGCCAGTACACCTAACCCACATGACCTCTTCCCGAGCCACTCCGACCACCTTAAGTCATTCGTGGATTTGCATTTTTCGACAAAAGCAAATAGACAACTCTTCACATGATATTTATACCATTCATGGGGTGTTAATATTTATGATATCTCACGAAATTGTTAATAAGAGCATTAATGTCATCATAAGGGAACCTCACTTTTGACTCGCAAACTGTATTTGATTCACGAAGATTTAAAACTACCATCTCTCCTATGCAACCGTTATCTATTTTATATTAAAGGACTCACTTAAGACTCACAACCTGCACTTGTTATTCGTGAGGATCAAACTAACTTCTTTTTAAGATACTTGTGATGACAATAGAGGGTTTATAGTTGACTAAACATGGTTGAGAAATTTCTAACAACTAGGGAATACATTAACGAGTGTAGCGATGAGCCTTTTAGTTTCAATATACTTTTGTCTTCCTCTAGTGATCAACTACTTTAACAGAACCCAAATAAATTTCTTCCCTCAACATCAAATTGTCTAGTAGGCATGTATATCATTGTTTACCCTATTTTAATTGTGATCTCGAGCGGACAATGAGAAGATGTTGGAAAAAAGATTCATTATTGTAAAAAAAAGATGCAATATTATGTATATAGATCGTACTTGCCTACATTGCTCTGACAATCATCCATGCGGTCCATCTTATGTGTCTGATCACCTGCTCCTACTGTCACCATTTTTTTATGTTGTCACAAGTCACTCGCTCCCCTTATCAACTATGTAGATATATCAGATGATCATACAACCTCTCCCACCTCTTCTTGTTAAACTATTTAATGTGTTTTTGTAATATTGGCGTTTGTAAGTTTGAATACTTTTTGTTGGTACTTGAAGTGTTTAATCAATCAATCGTATATGAAATCAGAGTTAATATGAACACCGAATGTAAATGAGATCTTGATTCATCTCATATTATCTGGAAGTAGTACAAGTACATTTGAGAGAGAATACGTACAATACACAAGTTGCACGAGTTTAAAAAGTTACAAATAACTTATGTACCTACACTATTTATAGTGTACTCAACGGATACAAAAAGTATATCAGGACTTCGACACTCAAAGAGAAACTACATAAGTTCTTGATAAAATACATATAGTATTGAAGTCATGAAGACCTTTGATATTCACTAACTACTCAATACTTAGGTCACTACCTAAGACTTTGATATATCACAACATATTTGACTCTACAATCTCCCCCTTTGTGATCAATATCAAATCTTCAAACTGTGGTTAATGTCTTTATCACTTGTAACAAAACTCTTGTTATCTCCATGTATCAAACGATAATTTTCCTTATCTCACGTCTGTCTTCATTTGAGTTCTTGCACTTGTTAATATGGAAAAGGACACTTGAAAGATTCTGATTAGAATATCTTTCTGTGTCGTCAGTATGGAAGTAGTATTTATTTTTCCCTCCCTTCAAGTTCTTTCCCTTGAAAGACAACACCAAGAGGTTGACTAATTATTTCACCATCTTCATAGTCATCGATATTAAACTTCCCTTCCAATATTGTCTTGGGAGCCTTTGGCTTTTTATTGAATGAAGTAGCGAACTCGATGTATGTTAATGCTAGATGAGAAAAATAACAATCTATGAAGCTTTTAAGATGACTATACCCAATGATGTATGAAGCTTTATCTTGAACTTGATTATTATACAAATTTCCCATAATCTTTGCAATAGTGATGAGATCATTCAAATTCATCAAGGGAAAGTCCGCAATGGTGAAATCAAAAAGAACATTGTTAGCCCTGACAACATTATATCGATAGTTTTGCAAGACTCCTTCGAACATAACATCAGGAGTTATCGATACAAGTTTAACATTTTTTACCAATGACCAAACATCTTCTTCTTTCCTTCCAAGAACGGCATGGAATCGAATCTTCATACTTTTAAACTCATTCATATCATGAAAATTCTCTCAAGCTTAAACTGAGCAAATGTGAACATATAATGATTGAACGGAAAGTCTAACTGATTGAAATCTGAGTCTTATATATGGAAATGTTTCCATAGTGGAAGTTGATTATTAAAATCAACATGTGAGTTGAAAACTTTAATGCAAGAAAGGTGTTCAAGGAGCTTACCTTGAATTTGAGACTTCATTCCCATGGAATTGTTTTTAGTAACAAAGTTCCAATGGAACATTCTATAATATCGTTGGCTAAGTCTCTGTGACTTTGAAGCCTCGACATCACAGAAGGACAATGCATGTACGGTTGGAATTCTAACACATTTAGTAGCGACGAGAATTTGAAATTGTGGAATGAGCATCATTGGAATAGTATCCAGTTGATCTGTTCACAAAGGAAGGACCATAGAGAAACATAGTATGGATGTTCATAACATGGCATGACTGATGTTTAATTCAAGTGGTTAGTTGATTACTAGAAACATTATACAATGAATAAAGTCTTAATTAATATGGTGATTAAATAATTAGAGTTTTATTTATTTTCAATAGTTTTGAGACCATAGTTAATTAGATTATTATTGTGTTTCACTTTGCATGTTTTACTCCCAGAATAATTTGATTATTCGAAATTCCACAATCACTCATACTTTTGGAAGTAAGTAGCGAATTAAGACTGTCATGAATTGGATTATAGATTGTCTAAAGAGTTTTAGACATATCAATAGTTTTGCTAGAATGTTCATGAGTACTTAGTAATGGGGATTTTAAGTATTGGAGAAGCCCACGCTCAGAGAATTACTTCATGGATTTTATCACGAGTAATTCTGAGACGATAATATCTTATATTCTTAAAGCGAAGATATATGAGTTGTG